AATGAAAAATACTGAAAATAAATTTAAAAGTGAGTAAATGAAATAAAGCTGTTTTTATCACCCAAAGCAGAAATGATTTAGTTGTAATTTTTCCTGTTTTAATTTAAAAACTAATATATCTGTACTCATGTGCCTTTTTGTGATTTTCATTGTTTATTGTTCTGATAAATAAGACTATGTGCGCAGCTTCGTTTGAGTTGATGTTATTGTTCATAGGCACGTGGGCAGGGTTGAACATTATGGCAAGCCGTTGGGGCCATAAATCGGGCGTATATTTACGTGCAAATCCTAACACGCGGTGCCGTAAATAACGTGCAAAGGCACAGTGGCGTTTTCTACCCTAACCCTTATGGCAAGCCGTTGGGGTCATAAATCGGGCGTATATTTACGTGCAAATCCTAACGCGCGGTGGTGCCACGTGCGGTGGCGTTAACGTGCGAACGTGCGGTGGCGTTAAATAACGTGCGGTGGCGTTTTCTAACCTAACCCCAACTCACCGCGCGTTCTCACATTATTTACGTCACTGCGCGTTAGGATTTGCACGTAAATATACGCTCGATTTATGACCCCAACGGCTTGCCATAAACCCTAACCCTAACCCACCGCGCGTAACGCCACCACGCGTTCGCGCTTTATTTACGGCATTTGCGCGTTATTTACGGCACTGCGCGTGGCGCCACCGCGCGTTCGCACGTTATTTACATCACCGCGCGTTAGGATTTGCACGTAAATATACGCACCGCGCGTTAGGATTTGCAGGTAAATATACGCACCGCGCGTTAAGATTTGCACGTAAATATACGCACCGCGCGTTAGGATTTGCACGTAAATATACGCCCGATTTATGGCCCCAGAGGCCAACCATAGAACATGGAGCTTTGTGACCCTTGGTCCACGTGCACATCCTCTTCCTCGCTTGGTCGACCACTGTAGCAGTGTGCTGTGCTCATCTTCCTCCTCATCGGATCTCATGTCAAAAGCAATTGTGTTTGTGTGTGTGTGCGCGCGCGTTTGTGAAATGTGTGTATGACCGACACCTGTTCTGTTTGACATAAAAACCAAATACTGTGTAAATATTATATCTGTATATTTGAGTGTGGCAATGCCAACAAGTGTCACAAGAACCAATAAACAAGAAACTAAATCTGTTTTGTTTTTCTTTTTTTCTCAAATCACACAAATTGTTGAAAAAATACTTAAACTAATCAGTCGCTGTCAGTAAATATAACTAAAGATATTACATTTTCTACAAGAACAGATGAAGCCTGAGTTCATATAAACTTAAAATTATCCAAAGTAGCTAAAACTGAACAGTTAGATAAAGCAGAACACTAGCTAAATAAACTATTGTTGGGTGGATGGAGGTTTCCAAATTATCTAAAATTTACAGTTTTTTTTTTTTTTTTTTTTTTTTTTTTTTTTTT